GGAAAAACTTCTGGCTTTTGCAAAGTTTTCCATTATGCCATGCAAATTTCCGCTAGACACAAGATTTATATACATAATCTGGCCATAACTATTGCCTGTATTAAGACCGGCTTTGGCTATGCCATTTTTAGTTTGTCGTTTGTCCTCGTTAATCATTGCATCGCCTGCGGGCATCGGCGTTATTGGCATTCGTTTTGTTGTGTCTGTTTGTCGTTTTCATTAACCTTAATTAGCGTGTGCCGCTGACATTCGTCATTATCCAACATAAATGCAATTGGCCAAGTTGGCATCCCATCCCCCATCCCCATCCCCCATAACCAGCCCCGCTGCCCCCTTCTCCGTCGCACTCGTTGGCATGATTATCATCATCATCGTCGAATGAGAGTGACATTTTGTGGCACACGTTTTCCACTGCTCATTTTCTGTATTATTTTTTGTTGCTGTCTTTCTGTCTCTGGCACCGCATTGGCATGGAGACAGGGCCACGAACGATGCGACATCGGAGGAGGAGGTGGAGGTGGAGTCTGATATTGACCATGGCTCTAGGCAGTTGCTACCTCCATTCATCCTCCAGCCATGCCATCCATTCCATCCATCCATCCAACCATCCAACCATCCCGTTCCCGTGGCTCGATATTGCAACTCAACAACTGGCTGACTGCCACATCGCTGACTGCTGCTGCTGCTGGTGCTGCTGCTGCTGTTGGTGTCAGCTGCAAATGAGTTTCTGGGCCGCCGTAAAACGTAAACGTAAAGTGGAAGAGTTAGAAATGGGATACTCGCAGCATAAGGCCAGGGAGGGGGGCGAGTATATAACGACTTTCGAATGCTCTGGTTTCCAGCAGAGGAAAGTGTTGGCAGAAGGCACAAAGTCGTTACAGATAGATGGATCGATACATAAAGAAATACTCCGAGATAGAAGGAAATATCAATAAACTTAAGCAGGAAATTATAGAGCCACATCTTATACTACAAGAATGCAAGGTTAGAGGAAATTAAAATCTTTAAAGAGCTATCGTATCATATCGTAAAAATCTTCAAAATGTGTACTTACCTTCTTAAGAAAAATCATTCTTTGGATCAGCTCAAATATCCCTTTAAATAACTGCAAAGAAAATATTAATGAAATATCGATTTTATTATCGAAATAACATCGATTATAGATAGTAGTGAACAAACAAAGATAATATCCAAAGAAATCACATAATTTCAATATAATAAATACAATTTTCCATCATCTATCGTATATATAATAGGTATTTCCATAAAAATTCCCATTAAACATTGATATGCTCCATAAAAATCGATTGTTTTAAATGGCTTGCCATTACGCACATTCCAAAAATGCATTAATATTAAGTCTAATTGATCGCTTTCAATGCCAATTCAAGTCGAAGCCATAATTAAAGAGAAAACCACTTGCAGCACACAAAGTCGCAGTGGCACAGACCTCCAGCCTCGCTCCTGCTGCCTCCACCTGTTTGCGCATTAATTATGCTCTCTGCGACTTAAGTAGCACCCCGTTGCCGTGCCCCCCCTTTGTGGAGCAGTGCAGTGTTTGCTTTTGCTCTATTTACCAATGCCAATGACAGTGACTGCGGAAAGTATGTCGACCTATCGCTTGCTCGAAGTAAACTAGTTTCGTGCGTGTGGCATTCGCCTTGCCATTCGCACTCGACTTTGAACTGAATACAGAGTGTTAATCGTTGGCTTTGATTTCAAGCTAAATCCAATTAAAACTCAAATTGAATCGCAATTGTCGTGGGATCTGCTGAGAACAGCTGAGCGACTGGGGAGAGCAAAACTTTCACGTAGCTCATTTGTCAAAATGCAAAAACAAATCATCATTCCCTGTTTTTTTTTTTGTGCTGCTTTTTTGTTGTGTTTATGGTTTCTGCAGCCTCCGCTGTTGTTTGTCACGTTCTGGGTTTGCTTTTGTTTTATTTGCCTTTTTCTTTTTTGCTTTTCTGGCTTTTTCTGCTTTTTCTGCAGGAGAGATCCATCTGTCTGTGTCTGTGGGCGTCTCTGGCTGCCGGGGGCCTGCCTGTCAATAAGGTTCTTGACACCTTTACTTCATTTGCTCTCAGATTTCTCTTGACATGACTTTCCGTTTGCTTTCTTTCTGGACACACAAGAGCACGAGTGCGAATGTGGGCTGCCGCATGTGGAGGGCAATAAGTCATTGAAATGTTCTTAAGACATTTGCCAAGAATAATAATTGTTATTTTAATGAAGAGAAATCTCTTTCATACACTTTACACGCCTCTCATTTGTTTCTCCACAAACAAACAATAAAACCGCCCATTTCCGCCCACTCTTATTAAATATTCATAATAGTTTAGACAACCATCGGAGGCATTGTTTGCATTTTACGGATGAAAACATAAAAATCATCATTCGCCTTCAATTTGCTGCACAACTAATTGCAAATGTCTGCCACCCCGAACGACCTTTACAAATCTACAAATACAATGCACAGTACGGGGCACAAACGTAGATATTTCTTTTATTTCTTTTTTCCTTTTTTTGGACGAAAAATGTAATTGTGCAAAACAAAAGTTGTGCCTCCGCTACCGGACTGCCGCCTGACCTGTGCTGCAGCTTTTTGCTACCCTTGGGAGGGGTATGATGACTCTCAAGAGGTGTTGGCATGCATTGTATCCCCAGAAACCGCTTAAACCGGCCAAAAATTGATCAAAAACTAGCCTTCCTTCTTCTCAAAAAATGTATTTCTAGCAGCAACATCTGGAAAATGTATCTCGTAGAGTATCTGTAGCTTCGTCTATCCCAGAACTGGCCTTTCCTTTCTTGTTTGTATTACAAACGCTTAATTGCTTTTGACTTTTGTGTTGTTGCTGTTTCTGTTGCCTGGGCTGTTGCTTTCCTGTCTTTCGCTTGTGGTTGTCTCTTGTTGAGCTCTCAAGGTAACCAGAAGTGCCACCACCTCCTCTCCACCTCCTCCACTAGCTATTTAATTTCCACGAAAAAAAAATAAACAGAACCAAATAAAATGTCTAAGATTGCGATTATCTTTTTAATAACATTGCGAGGCAAAGGAAATTCCCACCGCCAGCAGCAGCGCCGCAGCGGAAAAAAAGTGCCGGAGTGGAGTGCCGGTAAAGTGGAAATAAAAAGAAATTACTTAAATCACGAATTTAATTACCACGCATCCACGATAACGCGCCTCCAAATAAAGCGATACAATTGCGAGGGCCAACAATTGTTTGCAGGCAAATTACGTTTCAAGGTGTTGGGTGTTTTTTCGACCACACTTTGATAGTGATTTATTTCTTATTTATTTCAAGAAGATATTTTTTAAATGTGTATAATATAAGGAAGGGCAGGAACTATCAAATAAATCAGGGAAATTATCCGGTGGTTTCCATAAATCCGTCTAATTAATTAAGGAAAAAATATGCAAGAATTGCAGAAAAACTTTTTTTCTTTCCAAAATTTTCTTCTTCTTTTTTTTTATTTTCAAGAATTTTCCGTTATTTTTTTCTTATTTATTTCAATATTTATAATATAAGGAAGGGTGGGAAAGATCAAATAAATCAGGGAAAACTATGTACTTTAGGTCGGCATTTGCGAATATCTTTAGACCCTTTAATCTTTCCACAAATCCAACCAATTAATGACTGACAAAATTTCAAGATATATCAGCAAAATCAATCCTGTTTTAGTCATTATCTAGAAGTGAATTTATTTATAATCATAGTTTTCAAAAAGTTTCAGTTATTTCCACGAATCTCCCCATAGATTGGTTGCTTTTGAAAACACACTTTGGAACTAATTTATTTTTATTTTTTTTTTCAAACGATACTGTTTAAAAGATGTTTATTAGATAAATCACGAAAATATGTATGTATCTTTTGGTCAGAGTTTGGCAGTATCTTTACCCTTATTAAAACATTTAAATCCACCGAAAAATACCAAAAGCTATATGAAAAAATTCCAGTCAAAATGTCTTTGTCTTCTGTTCGAAAAACATTTCTTTTGTAGTCAAAAATTTCAAAATCTTTCACTTCTCTTGGCTGCTGTCTAAGTAAACAAAACATAAAACAAATGAATTAATTTGCAAATACATTTTCTTTAGTATAGTTTTTCCGCATGCCTGGCTATCAAGAGGCATATCTGACCCACTGCGATCTCCCAGCAAACCATTCGTTCGTCCATCGGTGTTTGGTGCGTTTTGCTCTGAATATTTTCATGGTCCCCACCGCCCCCCGCCCCAACCCCCGCCCAGACCCAATGATGACGTGCAGGTTTATTTGTTTCTAAATCTCATCCACCGCATCGTGATGTTACTCGTAGACTTCCACTTCGCCAACAAACAAACAGAAGCTAAGAAAACTGTCTAAAAATAGATGTGCAAAATATATACACGATAAATTGAATCAAATTCGTTTTATACACAAGTATATAAAATAAAATTAAGTGTAACGAAACTCAAACTCAAGCGAATCCGAAACCGAAACCGAAATCGAAACCGAAACGGAACCAAAAGGCTGTCGACCAATTGAATAACAATAGAATCATTTTCAAGTAAATTAAAAAAGTCTTAAACATGAAACCAATTTCCCTTTGCACTCCCTTTGCTTGTTTTTACGATGCCATTTTCTTTTTGGGGGGAAAAATATTACTTATTGCTGGCTGTGGCCGAAAGTGCACTGCATGAAATAATTGGATTTTGTAATTGCTTGAGTGCGTGTAGGGGGTATAAGTATTTTGTGTGTGCCATAAATTGCATTGGCAGAGCATGAAAGCAGCTCAAAAGATTGTGTGTTTATACTCAATATCATATGGATTATAATTGCTATTTATTTACACATATATTTGTTGAAATTTCCCATTGGGAGTGCATTTTTAAATGGGTTTAATTGTGATCTGTTGGAAAGTAGTTTAAAGGAGTTGAAAATAGGCACAAAGGTAGCTTTCAGACCCACTTCCCCGCACTCTAGAAATCTAGAAATTTCGTTCAAATGCTTTTTTTTTTTTTTTCTATAATTCAATCTTAAAGATAGTTAGTCATAATATTGCTCAGATCAAAGGGAAAGTTGTTGAAATTTATGAAAATTTAATTAAATCTGTCGACGTTTTTGAAGGGACTTCTAGTTCATCCTTCCGCCATCGGCTGTCTGAATGTATGGGACCGGCTCTTGGCCCTGATGCTGATGGAGGGTCTTGGGTTGATTCGGACCTCCTTGGACAGGTCCCTCCTGATACCCTGGCTGGTCAAAGGCATGCGGCTCCTGCTGCGACGGCTGCTCCGGATGTTGGGGCATCTGTGGTCCCAGGGGCTTGGGCTCCGGTACCACGATGTGCTCCTGTTCGTGTTCGTGCTCTTCGTCGTCCTCCTCGTTGCCCACGTCCTGCAGAGCCCGGCCCGTGGGCTTCTTGAGCAGAAAGCGCGTATTGGGATGCTGTTTCGTTTCCAGCTCCAGGCGATCGATCAGCCAGCCCTTCTCCCGATTGTTTGTGGCCCAAAAGAACACGGTCCCCTTGTCCTTGGTGCCGTGAACGGCGACCTCCAGCTGGGCCCTGTTCGCGTCGCAGGTATTCCGGGTGTTTGTCAAACTGAAGCCCGTCTCCTTGATGGGCTCCCCCAGCAGGCGGACGGCCCCGCCGTGCTGGCGCAGGGTTTTGATGGCCAGCTGGTAGTAGTCCGCCTGCCGCACCCGATCCTCGAGCTTCCAGTGGAGATAGGCCAGGCCCGAGATGGAGGCCATGGCTCCGAAAACACACAGGTTGGCCAACGACCGGCGGGAGGGCAGAGTTAGGCGCATCTTTAGGGTTGGCATCGTATTGAATTTAGCCAAAAGAGCCAAAAGCATTGAACAGGCAAAGGGAAAATAAATTGAGTAATTGCGAATTTGTTTCTAGTAGAACACTGACAGACATCTCAGAGATGTGCTTCTGCTCAGAGTTTTCTCCCAGCTTTCCCTCGATTCCCACAACGAACCTTGAAATCATCGCAATGCCAGGCCAGACCAGGCCAGGCGTCGCCTTCAGCTAATTGCGGTTGCTGCTTCTTTTTCTGGCCAACTTAAAAACTGCTGAAATTGCTGGCCAGAACCGCACCACAAACCAGCGCCAGCCAGCAGTCGTTCAATTTTGATGCCGCCACCCAAAAGGCGTGGACAACAAAACGCTCGCCCCTCGCCAAACCCGGAGGAGTGGAAACCGGAGGAATCAAAACTCGTTTCGATTCCGTATAGCTGTACATAGGAGCTGCCTCTTTTCTTCTTTTTCGTTTTTGTTGGTTTGTGGGCCAAACAAGCGGCGCCATTAATGACAGCCCCCGACAGAGTCCGAAAGAGTGACCCGTCCAGCGGATGGATAGATCAGAAGCATGGCCTTTCGCCGGGCGACGATTCCATGGCTGGAATATTTCAATAATTCTGATCAGAATCTTAGATGATAAGGCCTTCACAGAGGATCATCTGCATGCACGAAGCGGGTATCCGATCCGATCTTTGGTCAGCAGGCTGCTTGGTATTCCCAGCGGGAAAATGCCTGAGAGATAGGTGGAAAGATGCATATTATTATAGCTGATTAAAGAGGGCCTACAAGTCACTCTTTCTTAATCTGGTAAAACGATTGCTTGGAAATGCGAGAAGATAATCATTTCTTTCCAGCAGACAAGAATGAATCTTCTAGGATTGCAGATGAAGGAATCACATCTCTCTGTAGCACTTGATGAGCCATTCCAGGCTGTGCTTAAAACGTAAAACTATAAACCCGTTAAAGAGCAACTAAACTTCATCGTGCCCCGCACGCTTTTCATCTCATTATCCTCCTGGTAGTTGGGTCTATTTTTACTAGCCTTTTGCCCGTCGTCCACTGAGTGCCCATTTAGGGTGGTGCCGGTGTGCTGCCTGCACCAATGGTTATTTAAAAATAGTTTCCCCTCGTCTCATCGTCTCACATCTCGCTGGATCGGTAATCGATAGCATCCATGCAACGCCTGTCACGGCTGCATCTCCGATACGAAAGGCTTTTGCGCCGTGGCCTAATCTATCAAATGCATCTTTGGGTTTGAATATCTTTGTGCTCGTCTTCTGCTCGGATCGCTGGCCGGCAGTGGATGTTACATTTTTGGCCTAAGTGGCCTCTTGCGTGTCCGTATTTATCGCCAGAAGAAGATCATGACTGACTCTCAGAGAACCTCGAAGAAGATTCCTCTTCCTGTGACAATTTTTCTTGTGGTCTTCATCTCATTAAAGGTCTCTCTTTTTATGCGCTGTCACTTTAGGACCACTTTTGGTCAGGCCTGTGGCTTATCTTCAGCCAGTCTTCATCTTTAAGTGCCGCCATATGGCGGGGTAGGGGCGGGGGTACAAGGTTTTTCTATAAATCAAACTACAGCCGGTACACGGAAGCGAAGCCACATGGAAAAGATACTCTTTAAGTACGTTTTATTCCACGTTCTATGGCATGCCAGCACTCAGGGGCTACAGGGGCTACAGGTGCTACAGGTGTTGCCGGTGCTCTAGCCATAAATATACTTATAACTAACCATTAACTGTTTAACGGTTGTTGGGGCTACAAATTGATTTCAGATTCGAAGCTCATCTGGCATCTGGCATCGGGGGTTGCGGGTTGCTGGGGCTGTGATTATAGGCCTCCTCGATAGTTGAGAGATCGTGACCATGTTGATCACGAAATTATATGGATTACTTGTAATCACGCATCACATGTGTGCAATCATTTCATTATTACCAAATTGATATGATATATTCTTCGGGGACTCTCGCCATTGAATTTCTATTGAGTCATTCAATTATGAATCAATCAATTTTGGTTCTATGAGGAATCCCTTGTCCTCTGAGGCACTCCTCAGAGGTTTTTGGCCCACAGAATTCCTGGGAATTGAGTCTGCAAAACCTTAAGTTTAATTAATTACATTTCCTATTCGTGTAGAAATTATTACGCCGCAGACACAGCCACAAAAACAATTTATCAATTTTTTAATGACAATAAAAGTCTTTTTGTTTTTTTTTTGTTTGCATTTTGCTTTAAGTTTTATGAAGCGCCAAGGCTTTTTAATTAGTTTTATGCTACAAGCGAGTAAATGAAGCGCAGCATAAATTAAGATTTACGAATGGGTCGGAGGGGGTGCGGGGAGGACGGAGGTCAGGGCCCTCCCTGGGCAGAGAGGAGCCATAAAAAACTGGTTGCCAGAAGATGAGAAATGCAATTGAGCACACAGCACAGTGCCCGCAAATAAGTAATGGACTTGGGTCTGGTCTCTCTTTCTTACGTGATTTACTCATCGTTTTTAATAAGTTTTCTTTCGAACAAAATAATTTTCCGATTGCGTCATGCGATAAAACTGTGTCTATGATTCCGAATTAGCATAGAATTCTTGATGATGGGCTTTGATCATCCGTCCATCCGTCCATCCATCCATCCGTCCATCCATCCATCCGTCCATCCTCAAGGTAAGCCTCAAGCGCTTCCTCAAGCTTTATGAACCGACAGGGCCCCTCAAGGCCCCCCTAACTAAATTGCCCATTTGCCAGCCCACCGAAAAAACCTTTTAAAACCCATAAATTATATAAATATACTACTACTACTAAAAATGTTCAAGCAAAAGGGGTTAAGACAGGCAATTTTTCGTTCAATCAGTCAAGCAGTCATTCAGTCTTTCGTTCAATCAGTCAGGCGTTCAGTCGTTCAGTCGTTCGCTCGGCTTGCGGCTATTATTTTCAATAAAACATAAAATAAATATGGCAAATTGAAGTGCGGCCCAAACATTAACAGCCGGCGGCCACACAAAAAATACGAAATAAAAACTACAAATTTTGGGGTAACCAAAGCTGGAGATACCCTAAAATAAAACTATATTTTCCATGGAAAATATATTTAATATTAAATATTCAATAAAAAATAAAATATAATTAAAAAAAAATGATAAAACATAAATATCATAAGGAAAACGGGGTCAAGTGCCACGACTTCAAATAAAAACAAGTACAATAATTATTATAAATATTATTGCTATAATGGTTATACCATTTTAGTTGTTAATTTTACATAAAATACTAAATTAAATGAATCACATTCTCAAAAAATTACACAAAATAAAATAAACTAATTTAACTTACAGCTATAAATATTTGGTAGGATTATCTCCCAGGATTGTCTTCCAAAGAGCGATATATCCTAAGCGATATATCCCATGATAGATACAAATATATACTTTGTAAAAATTTACTTGGGATCTTTTTGTACTTAGGCTGTAATTTTTACATGTAGCACTGAGATTAATAAGGTCCATTTGGATTGTCTTCAAAGCCAAAGAAGACTTCTCGTATGACAGGCTAATGCCATGGAAACTCTATGATATAGTGATATGTACGACACTTCTTTGGATAGTTTCAGCAGTCTAGCAGTCAGTTTGAAACTACCCAACTTTTTGTCATAGAAAAATAATGCATAAAATGCGAATCATAAGTCTCTATATATTTGCTCAAAATTGCGCCCTTCTCTTTCGTAAACCCATTATACCCTCTGCTTTAAGGGTATCAGAAGAAAGAAAAAAACTATCAAAAGAAGAAGCAAACAAAAAACAGCAAATAGCAAACGCAGCGCGCATGCGCAACACGCAATGCCAAAAGAGAAGCCGCAATCGAAGCCTCAGTCGCAGTCGCAGTCCGAATCGGAGTCGGACCTGGCCCCTGCCCCTGCCCCCCCCGGCCTGCCCTGTCCAAAGTCGGACCAAAGTCGTTGCTGAGGCGCTGGCCTCAGCCAAAGCCAAGGTTGTTGTTGCTGTTGTTGTTTTTGTAATTGCTTGTCTCTCAAGTACAGCCATCGTCTGTGAGTAATGTTAGCGCCATAAATAGAGAGAAATACAGAAAGAGACGGCGACAGAGACGACGACGGCGACGGCGACAGTGAGGAAGGGATGAGGCGGAGAACGAAGCGAAGCGAAGACGAAGACGAAGCCTGGAACGAACTTATGTTTAATTGCAAGTTGTAAAAATCTTTTAGGGTGGAGCCTAATCACCAAAGCCCAAAAAAAACCCAGAGAAATTGAAGGCCAGAGAAAAAAAAGACAAGCAATGGGCAGATGTGTTGTCGATGCGGAGGCTCTGGGCAGATCTCTGGGGAAGGGAAGGGGTGAGCATGGGGACATGCAACACATGTTCTTCACATGTAGGATAATTGTGGAAAACCCCAGACCACAGGCAGGTCATGGAAGATCAATTGGCGAGGAGGCCACTCGTTGCAGTTGGAGTACTTTTCAATTAAAAGAGAAATGTATTTGCACAGCCTTCGAGTTTCAAGGGCCCATCTTTGTTGTGCCACAAAGAAATCTCAATAGTTTTCAGCTTTTAATCGCAAACCGTTCGTTCCGTTTCGTAGGGAAATCAGCCCCAACATATGGTTGGAGACCAGAGCCGAATCTCTTCCGCTTGAACTATGGGGGAAGGGATTCTTATCTTACATGCGGCTGCTGCTGCTGCTGGATGCCACTGTGGCTGCTTCTGTGGAAGCTCTCCATTTCCATTGGGGAAATGGTCAAACAATGGCAGCTGATAAAAGGCTAGCAAAAAATGCCCGGCCCGGCCCGGGCACTCGTCTGTGAAATGAAAGTAGCCCGAGACACAGGAAAGCCGAAACCCCCCTCCCAGACCAGCAGACCAGCCGACCAGTTGCCATAGGGATTCTGTGTGTATCTCTGTGACCATTGGGGGATGTGTGTGTGACAAGCGCATCCAAAATGCTTTTCTATTTAGAAAATTGTAACTCTTACAATTACGTTTCCTGTTGGCGGCTGCTGGCCTTTTGTTCTTTTGAATTTATGGCAACAACTTAATTGTTTTTA